CATCTGGGATGTTTTTCATTAGTTTGTTTGCTCGGTCTAATCTGCATTATCGGGGCACAGTAACATCACCGACAGCTGACATTTAGTTAATGATACACGTGGATTGGCAGCGGCGGCAGAAAACTGGCTTTAAAAGGCGGCGTCCGGCTGCAGAAGTCCTCATCCACCAGCCATGAGGGTGTTTGTGCTCGCGCTCACCGTGGCCCTTGTGGGTGAGTTTGTGTCTATGTATTTAAATCTGGATTAATTTTCTGAAAATGCTGCGACAAAGAAGCTCTTTCACTTAGAAAAAGACAATTATTCATTATAGGAATTGGAACTTTACACTCAATTATTACACTTAAAAAAATAATATTTGCACATAAAGAAAAATAAATTAAATATGAATCTTTTTGAGCTAAGACAACTTTCTAATGGAGTTATGTTCAACGAACGACCCACACCGAGTTAGGGGAACTGCATTTCCCTCTACAACTAGATTTTTCAGTTTCTAGGTTCCAACTCCATGTTATTTAAAAGCATGTTTTGTACTAAATGATCACAAGCACAGTTTATTAAGTATTCAAATTTTTTTTTAAAGTTCCAGTGTTCAATAGGTAGAGACTTCAGATCCTGGTGAAGAAAAATGTAGTTATCAAACTAGATTTATTAAGTGATCTCAACTTTAATGAACTCATTTTGAATTTAAATCATAACCAGTGTTAAGTTGATTCACTTTTATGTCGACTGAAGCCACAAAAGCAACTTAAAATGGTTATTTGAATTGTTAAATTAAACTTATCTAAGAAAAATAAGTTCCTTAAATTACTTTTTTTTTGAGTTGGTGATGGTATAAAGCTGCCAAACCAACATTACAGCTAAATCTATGCATCAAATTCTCCACTTTTACCGACTGTCTTGCCAATTAAACACATTGCTAAAGAACAGCACATCCTTTATAATATTCCCATTTTGCTTCACAACTCATTCTTTGTCCTACATGTTGTCTGTGAGCACCAAATGAACTTTTTTTTTTTTTTTTGTCCTACGTTACAGCCAGCAGCCAGATCAGCTTCGGTAAGTTGTCGTTCTATCGCATGACATACTTTCTGTGTCTGAGTTGCAAAATGTAATGCAATGAACTTCACTTTGCTTTCTCCAGAGTTTGTTCCTGGAAAGATCTACGAGTACGAATATGAGACCGAGCTTATGGGCGGCCTGCCTGAGGAGGGCCTGGCACGGGCCGGAGTCAAAGTCCACAGCAGAGTTCAGATCAGCAAAGACGCCACCCCTCAGACATTCATCCTGAAGGTAAACACCGTTTTGGAGTATTGATGAGATTCTCTTGTGCACCTGACAACATCCCCCACGTGACTTCAATCCAAATTCTTGTAGCTTGTGGATCCTAAGATCTTTGAGTACAGCGGCATCTGGCCCAAAGACCGCTTCACCCCGGCCACCCAGCTCACCTCGGCCCTGGCTGCTCAGCTCATGACCCCCATCAAGTTCGAGTACGCCAGCGGTGCTGTCAGGAAAGTGCTTGCACCGGCTGGTGTCTCCTCAACCGTCCTCAACATCTACAGGGGAATCCTCAACATCTTCCAGCTGAACATCAAGAACACGCTGAACGTGTACGAGCTGCAAGAGGTACAGAAAAAAAAACAAAACCTCCAGCGAGTTCGACTCACGAAACACCACGATTCTTACTGACAGCACCTGTGAACCTTTTTATACCAACAGGCTGGCGTCCACGGCATGTGCAAGACCCACTACGTCCTGAGACAGGATCAAAAGGCCGAGCGCATCTTCCTGAGCAAGAGCAAAGACCTGAACCAGTGCCAGAGCAAGATCTTCAAGGACATGGGCATGAGTCACCTGGAGAAATGTGCAGAGTGTGAAGCTGTAAGTGCCGTTTCTTCTGGCTTTGTAGGACTGAGCTCTTCAGGCTTTCATTATTAATGCATCTCCATTTAAACTGCTCCAAAACTCAGAGCAAATTCATTTTCAGTTCCCTGCACTGGCTACCTGTCTGCTTTAAAATTTATTTTATTGGTTCATTAAGCACTTTATCCTACAAACACTAAAGTTTTCTTGTAGTTTTGTAATAAAAATCATCTCTGGAACAAGATAAAAAAGCAAAAACAAAACCTTTTTAGACCTTTTTAGTCTAGCTTTTGAATAATCTGATCAATTAATTAACTAATTTAGCATTATTACTTCTTAAAAAAACAGATTTTATTTATGTATTTATTATATATTTTTGTCTATTTTATCTATCTTTTTAATGTAATCTCATTTTGCTTTTAAAAATGTTGACAGTGTTTCCTCACTTTCTGTTTTATTATAACATTTAATGTAAACTCTTTTTAAATGTATTTAAATCAGAAAAAAATATATCTTTAAAAAAAAAACCAAATATTGGTATGTGTATTGAAGGGATTTTAAAAAAAAACTGATATTTTACAGATTTTCCCGATTTTGTTAAATTACAGATAATATTTAGTAAACTGACTATTTTCTACAAATGGTAATTCATTCTTGTACAACATTTGACAGTAAGATTTCAGTTTTGCTGTATATAAATCAGCCAAAAAACAGAATTATTTTACAGATATGTTTATATTTCTTAATTCAATTCAATTTTATTTGTATAGTGCATATTTACAACAAGTCATCTCATAGCGCTATTAAAAGAAAGCACTGCCCCGATTAGCACAACCGCCGTCGTGGCACAGACGCTAATTTTGGCTTCACTAGTTCATATTTACGACAAGTCATCTCATAGCGCTATTAGCAAGTAGGGTCACTGTTTTTCGATTTTTTTTTTTTTTTTTTAAGGGAAATACTTTTTACTGTTATTTTACCGATTTTTAATGTTATTGTACAGCTATTTGCTGTTAATTGAAAAAATAATGTTTTTAAAAAGATTAAGGATTAAAAGCTGGTGAATATTCTCGGCTTATTTTACAGAAACTAGATTTCAGTCAATAGCTTTTATTCCCTTTGCTTTGTCCTTTCATTTTTGTAAAACGTGCGATCGATTGATGAATTGACAAAGAAGCTACGCTGTGTGTCTGTCGATGCAGAGTGGAAAGGCCATGAAGACAGCGTCCGGCATCAACTACATCATGAAGGAAACACCCATCGGTACTCAGATCATGGAGGCGATCGTTACGGAGCTCATCGAGTATTCACCTTTCAACATCCTGAAGGGCGCCGCTCAGATGGAGTCCAAGTACGAGCTTTGACCTACAAACAAGAGTGGGTGTCCGGTGCTGTAGGCACGCTGCAGACTGACTCATGTGTGTTCGCTCGCAGGCAAAATCTGACCTTCCTGGAGGTCAAGAGTGGTCACGTCGAGCCTCTCCGGGTCGACTATCTTCACCGTGGAGACCTGCAGTACGAGTTCGGCAGCGAGCTTCTCCAGTCGCCCATCCAGCTCCTGAGGATCAGCAACGTCGAGGCTCAGGTACTTCTGGAGAACATTCCCTCCGACTCAGGTCTTTTTTTTTTTTTTTTTTCTCTGTGTGGACTCCATCCTCACTCACAGTCCATCCTGAACAACGCCGGCCACCACAACATCCTGGCAGCGATGGTCAGTGTGCTGCAGGACTGAACGCTTCAGGAGATCCTTTGTCCTGTTCAATAAACCAACGACCCGTGCACCACACCCCTCCTATCAACACATTACTATTAGTTCTACTTCTCACATTGCACCTTGCACTTTAAAGTACTCTTACACCCTCCTGCTGTTTCTCTAACCAACACAATTTGCACAACAACCGCTCTTTTGCACACTGCTTCTCATCTGTCTGCATGCAACGTGTGAGATACCTTGAACTTAGTGGATGAATGAAGCATCTATCTTTGTACATGCAGCTAAAAATGCTTCGTGTCCCCACAGATGGTTGAGACTCTGAACCACCTGGTCACCTACAACGTGGCAAAGGTGCACGAAGACGCCCCCCTGAAGTTCATTGAGTTCATCCAGCTGCTGCGTGTGGCCAAACCCGAGAACATCGAGGATCTGTGGCAACGGTTCAAGACGAGACCCGATCACAGGTGAGCGCCACCTTCGTTCAGAAGAGGAAGCGCGAAACGAGCACTCGGACAGATTCACAGACTGTCTGTCCCTCCCAGGCACTGGATCCTGAACGCCTTCCCCGCCATGGGCACTCACTTTGCTCTGAAGTTCCTCAAGGAGAAGTTCTTCGCCGACGAGCTGACTGTTTTCGAAGCCGCCTCTTCTCTGATGATGTCTCTGCACTCGGTGCCGGTCGACGAGGCGTCCATGAAACTCGCCGAGGCAAGTCGGTGGCGAAGGCTTTCTGGAACTTCTGCAGCGAGATGAAAACATTTAATAACATTTTCATTTTCAAACTCCTCAGGATCTGGTCATGAATGCACACATCCAGGAAAAAGCAATTCTGCGTGAGATTTTCATGCTGGGATACGGCACCCTGATCGGCAAATACTACGGAAAAGGCGCTGCTGCCTCGACTTATCTGAGGGTACGTGTTCACAACGTACTGAAGGTTTTGGTTCAAGTCTTGAGCTGTCATTTGTTTTAAAATAATTTATTCTTATTTCATTGATTTTCCCTGTTTTGTTATATACTTAATGTTAATTGAAAGGGGGAAAAAAGTATATTAGGGATTGAAATATTTTTTCATATATTTTACATTTTTTTTATTTACAGATAATAACCTGTTAAATATAGAAAAAGTATACATTTTTATTTTATTTTATTTTATTTTTTACAAAACAGGAATCTTTTACAACATTTAACCATAAAATAAGTTGTGTTTCTTTGTTTAAATCAGCAAAAATATCATTATTTGAAAGATATTTGCCATTAACTAAATGAAAATATGAATATTAAGGATTTAAAAAATAGTATATATATATATGATGGATTTTCCCTGTTTTGTTATATTACAGATAACTTGTAAAATCACATCTGTTTTACCTTGTATTTAAATCAGAAAGGAATATCAATATTTTACAGATGTTTGCAGTTATTAAAAAGAAAATATGTATATTCGGGATTGAAAGATGATAAATCTTCTTTTTCCACTTTCCTTGTTTTGTTAAATTACAGTTACGATCTATGAAAATCCCCCAAAAGTCTAATGTGCATTTCTACAACTTCATTCTTGTGCAACACTTGACAGTAAAATGATAGATATTTGCTGCTATTCCACCTTTTTTCAATATAGAGATTTTTTTCTGACACCCTTGATGCCAAATTGAACCTTTTTACTACTGAGTGATCAAATCTCAGTGATGGCATCAGCGGTTTTATTAACGGTGCTTCTGTTCCTCACACAGCCTCTCCATGACATCGCTGTCAAGGCCTTCAGCGAGAAGAACGTTGCTGACCTCATCCTCATTGTGAAAGTTCTGGGTAACGCCGGACATCCTGACAGTCTGAAGACGATCACGAGGCTCGTGCCCATCTTTAACAGCGGTGCTGCCGAACTGCCCCTCAGAGTCCACATCGAGGCCGTTCTCGCTCTGAGGAGCATCGCCAAGAGGGAGCCCAAGATGGTGAGGCCACAAAATGTTCTCACATGACTTTTAAAGACCTGCGTTTATATGCGCCGCTGTACTGATGGTATTCGTCTCTGTGACTCAGGTCCAGGAGAAGGTTCTTCAGGTGTTCATGGACAAATCTCTGCACCCAGAGCTGCGTATAGCCGCTGCCATCGTGCTGTTTGAGACCAGCCTGCCCTTCGGTCTGGTGAACGTGATGGCTGTTTCTCTCCTGAATGAAAGAAACCTGCAGGTCGCCAGCTTCGCCTACTCTTACATGAAGGCCATGACCAAGACCACCTCCCCTGACTTTGCTTCAGTGTAAGAACCTAGCAGGATCTGATCTGATTTGTTGAAGCGTGTTCGCGGCTACAACTGCTCTGATGTTGTCCTTTCAGTGCTGCAGCCTCTAATGTCGCCATGAGGATGCTCAGCTCCAAACTGGACAGACTTAGCCACCGCTACAGCGGAGCATACTACTACGACTACTACGCCAGTAAGAGATGAACAGAATATGTCACTGTCGCAGATTTCAGATGCATTCAAGTGTTTTTGACGGTTTCCCTCTGTTGCCCTGCAGATCCCTGGATGGTGGGAGCTGCTGCCAGTGCCTACTACATCAATGATGCTGCAACTGTTTTTCCAAGAACCATCATGGCCAAAGCTCGCACTTACCTGGCCGGAGCTTACGCTGACGTTCTTGAGGTATGACTCACATCGAAAGCTAAAACAACACCTTCAGAGTGTACATGTTGAACTCAGGCTTTAATCTTACCAAGAATCCTGCTGTTTGTTTAACATGAGATTAAACTTCTGCCAACCTCGTACCTTCATTTAATGCCAGCTTAGTTGACAACCTCAGGTGTTGTGGTTACACAGGCCTGGCAAATTTACACTTTTACTAATAATTTCAAGAACACGTATCCACGAAATCGCTACTTCTGTTTTGCTTGCAGTTTGGAGTGAGAACTGAGGGAATCCAGGAGGCCTTGTTGAAAGCCCGAAACCTCCCAGCGAATGCAGACAGGATCGCCAAGATGAAACAAGTCATAGCAGCTGTAAGTTCAAACCTGACGCTACACAACACAGATTGCTTTACATGAGCCGCTGTTTCTAACCTGCAGTTTTCTTCCTAAAACAGCTTCAGGACTGGAGGAAACATCCTTCAGGCCAGCCTCTGGCCTCCATGTACGTGAAGATCCTCGGACAAGAAATTGCATTTGCCAACATTGACAAAAGCATTGTCCAGCAGATCATTCAGGTGATGCATCTCCTCCAGTGTCCTACGACTGCTGCGTAGGCTGACAGCAACGTTTTGAGCTGGAAACGCGGCGTCTTATAAGTAACTTTGTGATTACAGCATGCAAGCGACGCTGACCTCCGCAGTTATGGCGAGCAGGCTCTGGACGTTCTGAAGACCGGTTTCACGAAGCATTACGCCAAGCCCATGCTGATTGCTGAGATCCGTCGCATCCTCCCCACCAGTGCTGGTCTTCCCATGGAGCTCAGCTTCTACACCGCTGCTGTGGCCGTTGCATCTGTTAAGGGTACGTTTCACTGCTGTAGTTGTGGACTTGCGAGAATTGTTGACACTGATGAGTCACTAAAATGTGTTGTTTTTCACCCACGAAGCCTCTGTGGCCACCCCGATCGCCAATCTGCCCCAGAACCTCCTGCAGCTTCTGAGGACCGACTTTAGCATGAGCGCTGAAATCACCCCGAGGTAACTCAGCTGCACCCAGATTTACGAACTTCTTCTCATCAGTTCAACTTTTAAAAAGAAAAAAATGGAAGTGTATTCAGAGATCTCCCTGAAAGTCAATATCTTGTGTCCCCCGTAGTGTTTCCACGCACACCTACGCAGTCATGGGAGTGAACACAGCCTTCCTCCAGGCCTCGCTGCTGTCAAAGGCCGAAGTTTACACGGTTCTGCCCGACAAGATGGAGGCGAGATTTGAAATGACGAAGGGCAACTACAAGTTTGAGTTCCCATCTATTAAGGAGATTCACACTATTGCATCTGCAAGGTATGCACGCTGCACAAAATATATATATATATAAAAAAACCCTTAAAATAAAGGGTTAAAATCTGGCAGCAACAAAAACATATGTCATAAACAGTGAAAATAACAAATACCAGTAAAATTATAGTGTTTTTAGCTCATTTAAATAAACTAAAGCTGTAATTTTATGGTCAAATATCATAAAAGAACGAATAACCATTGTGGTCATTATTTACAGTTTTTAACGCTTAAAGTGTAAATTATTATTGTTTTTGTGAGTTTAATTTAATAAAAGAGAGCAAAATCTGGCCAAAAAAAAATTTCAGTCCTTATGATACATATTTTTTCTTTCAAATAATTGCAGACATCTGTCAAATATTGATTTTTTTGCTGATTTAAATACAATAAAAATGGTTAATTTTGGAAAATAACAGATTACGGTTTGTAAAAATACAGATTTTTGATGTGGATATTATTAACAGCTTTGGCCTGTTTTTTGTTGTTTGTTTTTACAGTTAAGATGCTTAAGAAGATTTTTTTTCTCTCTCTCTCTAAGATTACACTAGATATTATCTGCATTTAAACAAAAAGGGAAAATCTGTAAAATAGCAGTAAATTGTTCAAAAATGTGTTTTGTTAAAACATCAATAAGTAAAGTGCTTTTAAAATGTATTCATTTTTTTTTTCATTCTCCAACAGTGTTGAGACATTTGCTGTGGCGAGGAATGTGGAAGACCTCCAACATACCAAAAAGACACCAGTGGTCCCAGCTGATGCTGCCGCTCGGCTGGCGAGAGTCTCCAAGAGGATTTCTAGCATGGCATCCTCTCTGGCTGGTGGCCTGGTGAGTTTCACCGATCACCTTACTCTTCTTTGTCAGTTCTCTTTCAAGTTCCTGTGGTGACCTCTGCTGTGGTTTCACAGTCCGCGTCGTCTGAAATACTCCCCGTCGATTTGCCAAAACCAATCTCCAGCAAACAGAAACTTCTCAAACCCTTTAACAAGACCATGTGTGCTGCAAGTGAGACCTTTGGATTCAAGGCATGCACTGAGGTTAAATCCTACAACGCCGCCTTCCTCAGAGAGTCCCTGCTGTACACCCTGATCGGAAAGCATGTCGCTCTGGTTAAGGTTGAACCAGGTAAGAGAAACTGGTCAACTTCAGTTGCTAGTTCAAGTAATTTAAGGTAGTTGTGGAAAACTGATGGTGTTTATCGATTTGTATTTCAGCTGGAGGACCAGCCATCGAGAAGTTTGAATTCGAGATTCAGGTTGGAGAGAAAGCAGCAGAAAAGATCATGAAAGTGATCAACCAGCGCGAGGAAGAGCAAACCCTTGAGGACAAGAACGTCTTGCTGAAGCTGAAGAAGATCCTGGTTCCTGGTCTAAGGAACAGCACCGTGACGTCCTCCAGCTCCAGCAGCTCCCAGTCGTCCAGCTCCAGCCAGTCTCGCTCCGTCAGCTCCAGCTCAAGCGGCTCCTCCTCCACGTCGTCCAAGCCTTCCTCCTCCAAATCCGCCTCTCAGCGAAGAAGCACGATGGTCGATCCCGCCGCTCCCAGCAACAAGAAGCGCAGCAGCTCCTCCAGCAGCTCCTCTAGCAGACGTACAAAGAGTCGCTCCAGCAGCTCCTCTAGCAGCGACTTGAGCAGTCAGTCGTCGCAGCGCACCAGCAGCAAGTCCTCCAGCTCCAGCTCCTCCAGCTCCAGCGCCGAGTCAAAGGTGAGCCACCTCGCATTGCGGAAAGAAATGTTACAGAGAATGTGCAGGAATTAATTTTGTATATTTCTTGCAGGAACAGGATCCAATGAAGTTCAAGAAGAACCACGTCCACCAGGTAATTTATCGTGAGGCAGCCATGCTATGTTCTGTCTGAGCAGACTAAATGTGCGGTTTCTGTCTTTGCAGCATAAACTTGCCTCAAACCGGGCCGAATCCCACAGCAGCGCCGCCAGCTTCGAGAGCATCCAGACCAAGGTGACATTCACAGCCTCACGTATTCATCCAAATACTCATTTTATTCCAATCTTTGCTTTAACATCACTACTCTCCGGTTCGCCCGTTCAGGCCAAGTACCTCTCCGATGTGGTGAGTCCCTCTGTGACCATCCTCATTCGTGCTGTGAGAGTCGACCACAAGGTCCAGGGATACCAGGTCACAGCTTACCTCGACAGAGAAACCTCCAGAGTACAGATCATCATCGCCAACCTGGCTGAGGGCGACAAGTGGAGGATCTGCGCTGACGGCGTGAAGCTGAGTAACCAAAAGCTGATGGTGAATATTTTACATCAACAACCAGTTACCGGAAATTAGTGTGACGCTTTAGGGTTGACCGAGTTTACCTTGTTGTAGGCTGCAGTCGCCTGGGGCATTGAATGCAAACAGTACTTAACCAAGATCACCGCTGAGACCGGCCGTGTGGAGCAGATGCCCGCGATCCGCCTCAAGTTGGCCTGGGACAGAGTTCCAACGAGCATGAAGCGCTATGCACGCAAGTAAGTCCACAGACTGATGCACTGTTTGAAATACTTTTGCCTAGGTAGAGAATCGACACACTCTGTCAGCACTTTGACCAAAAACCTTCTCGGACACCCTCGATATGGGAAGTTTTATTAGTTCTGGCAGGCGTCAATCTGACTTTAAAGAGATTCTTACAAACCTTAACATGTACGTCCCTCTAGGCTCTCCAAGTACATCAGCCGCATCCCTCTGGAGATTGAAGTGAGCAAGGCGAAGGTCAAGACTGAAAGACAGATTGCTCTGACTATAGCTGCTGCTTCTGAGAAAAGCCTGAATGTCGCGCTGAGGACAGCAAAGGTGCGCTTTTTGTTGCTTCTTTACACAAAGGAAATACTTTAATTACACTTCATCTCTGAGGCTGTAGAGCTGCTTCCTGACCCGTTTTCATTTCTTATCACAGAGGACCTACTACAAACGTGGCCTGGCTCTGCCTATCTCTTTGCCTTATGGAGAAACTGCTGCCGAGCTGGAGGCATTCCAGAGCAACTTTGCTGACACGATCTCCTACATGTACACCAAGGTTAACAAAGGTAAAACATTTAAAAGAGCAGGTTTTATATTTGTATGCTTGAGTATTAAGATTTTTTTTTTATTAAATAGGTTTTTTTTTTTGTTAAAAATGTTAAAAATTTGTATATTTTAAAAAAAAATCCAAAACAATAAATTAAATTACTTCAAACACATTTTTTTCCCCACTCCAGCTGAGTGCAGCATGGTCAACGAAACGCTGACAACATTCAACAACAAAAGACTTAGAAACGATATGCCGCACGCCTGCTCCCAGATCTTGGCTTACGATCCCACAGACGAGCAGAAATTCATGATTGAGCTGAGGAAGGACCACCCAGAGGACAAGTACCAGATCACTCTCTGGATGTCCAGCATGTAAGACTGTTCACACATATCGCGACTGTGGTTAAAATGTAGACCTGGAATAATTCAAACACACTGACTTCAATTGTTTTTCATCAGCAAAATCGACATATTCCCGAAGGACGCTGCTATCAAGGTGAAGCTTAATGACAGAGAACTTCCCATCACCAATCAGTCATACGTGGACAGTTCAGGTACTTTATTCTAATCAGACTAAGCTGCCATCTAAGATTATTCAATTAGAATTTTGGGAATTCACAAATATGCCTGCATTCATTTCAGAAACAATCCAGATCAGACAGAGGCCTCAGGGCATCGCTGTCATCGCTCCCAAACTCGGTGTTCAGGAAGTCCTCTTTGGTTTCAACACTTTGAAGGTGATACAACACACATGACACAACGCTGAGCTTTGCTAACCTACATGCTGGTAAAACGGCAATAAAAACGCTGTTATTGTTTTTTTAGATTCAACTTGTGGACTGGATGTTAAGCAAGGTCTCTGGAGTCTGCGGAAAGGGTGATGGGGAAATCAGACAGGAGTACAGAAAACCCAACGGAGAGCTGACCAGGGACGCGGCCAACTTTGCTCATCAGTGGATTGTTCCTGGAAGGAGCTGCCGAGATGTCTCTGGTAATGTTAGAACATCAACTGTATGCAGGATGACGATGAGTCTGAGAGTTTGGTTTCAGCATTGCTTACCTTCATTTTTTTTTTTCTCCAGAGTGTTTCCTGGAGAAGCAATCCGTGAAACTGGAGAAGCAGGTTAACCTTCACGGCCAGCAATCCAAATGCTACTCTGTCGAGCCAGTGCTGCGCTGCCTGGCCGGCTGCACGCCGCTGAGGACCACCAAGGTCAACGTCGGTTTCCACTGCGTTCCTGCTGGTGAGTCTGCAAGAAAGCACAGCTGAACGTCACCATTCTTGTCATCTTGTACAGCCTCTAACCCACTTTACTGTCCTCACTGTTGCAGATGCCAACGTAAACCAAGGTCTAAGCAACATCTACGAGAAGAGCATTGACCTGATTGAAACAGCAGAAGCCCACCTGGCCTGCCGCTGCTCTCCTCATTGCGCTTAATCTCAGCTCAGTTGTGTTGTGTTTTGTTTTCGGTCTCCTGCAGGCCTTGTTAATTACTTTGTTGGAACTGTAAACTTAAATAAAGTGAAGAAGCATATGACATTCGTGTTGTGTGGTTTGTGACTATTTATTAGTCATACAAACGGAGAAGTCATTAAAACTGGAAACTTGTGCTCATTATCTCGTCTGCTGAAATAGCTCAAAAACAACAAAAACTTGTACAAAATAAATAATAAATGATCTGTAATTACAAGAACTTGTCCAAAACAACTCAAAAAGCCATTCAGAACGAATCAAAAAATTGTCCAAATGACAAAAACTTGCCCAGTGTGACTGAAAACATAGTTCAAAATGGCACAAAAATTGGCCAGAATAATATAAAATTGTTAAAAATGACTCAAAAAAGTGTTTGAAATGATGCCCAATGTAACTCAAAAAGTCATTCAAAATGGCTTAAACATTGTCTAAAAAGGACAAAAACTTGTGACAAAACAAAGTGATTCAAAAATTGTCTGAAATGACAAAAACTTGCCCAGTGTGACTTGTCTTAAAGCATCGTTCAAAATGACTCAATCATTGTCTAAAAGGACAAAAACCTGTCCAATGTGACCTAAAGCATCATTCATATGACCCTAAAAATTATCCAAAATAAAATAAACCCGTTTAAAATGACTTAAAGTTGTCCAAAAGGACCAAAATGTTTTGAAAGTGGTGAAAAAAAATATGCTTGAAATGACAAAAACTTGGACTGGACGGTGGCTCAGTGGTGAGCACTGTTGCCTCGCAGCTAGACGGTCGCCAGTTTGCGTCCTGGTGAGGACACCCGGGATCTTTCTGCGTGAAGTCTCCATGTTCTCCCCGTGCAGCGTAGGTTCTCTCCGGGTTCTCCGGTTTCCTCCCACAAGGTCCAAAAAACATGTTGAGCTGGTGATTCTAAATTGTCTGTGGGTGTGAATGTGAGTGTGCTTGGTTGTCTGTCTCTAAGTGTAGCCCTGTGATAGACTGGTTACCTGTCCAGGTGAACCTGCCTTCACCCTGAGTCAGCTGGGATAGACTCCAGCCCCCCATGAACCTAGTGAGGATTAAGCGGTATATAGATGATGGATGGATAGATGACAAAAACTTGAGCTTAAAAAAACTTTCTTTGAAAATGACCCAAATATTGTACTGAATCACATAAAGTTGTTCAAAATGACTCAAAAAATGTCAAAATGCACCAGAAATTGTCAGAAAAGAAAAAGGCATCCAAAATAATGGGGGAAAAAATGACAAACACTGGCCTGTAATGATTTAAAAATTGTCCAAAATGGCAAAAACATGTCCACTGTGACCTGAAAAGTCGCTTGAGTGACTCAGGACCTCGTTCTCAACCAAAACAAAAACAGTTTGTCTATTTTTAAATTAGTGACGAGGCATGTCTTTGTGAAATTTTATTGTGTCTTGTAACCAAAAAGCTGTGACCAAAGACGTGTTTCCAGCTTATCAGCCCTTATGTTGATTGACATTTTGTTAAAATAGCAAAAAACTGGAACATTGTCTTCCTATAAATATCACATGTTAAAATCTACTGATGTTAAAGGCCTCAAAAGTAGCTTAAATGTCCACCAAAGACTGTATTTTTAGTAGGAAGTAAGTACACATCCATATATGTACACTTATAGGCCACAATACCACTCCTGTTTGAAAATGTTAAAAACTTTTTTTCCATTTTCAAGCACTAATAACAGAACATCTTGCCCCTGCTGGAGCCATTCAGATATTTAGATCTGCTGGAAAGAATTCTGTCTCTGTCCTCACCAAAATCCAGGGCTGTAGGAGTTGTATTTCTTGAGGTACTGAACCTTTAAGATGTATAAAGAGGTATAAAGACTCCTGTATCTGGCAGGTCCAATTACTGGTGGATCAGTACCCTGGACAGCGCTATACCATGAAGACTAAAGAGCACTCCAAGAACTCAAAAGCATTAGTCAGGGTACTATACAAAAAAAATTCCAAATCACTGAATATTCTCTTGGAGTCCAGTTAAATAAATCATTAAGAAATGGAAGGATTATGGATCTGACTAGAGCAGGACGTCCTCAAAAACTGAGTGACCGAGCAAGAAGGAGACTAGTGAAGGAGGCCACCAAGACACCAATGACTCCTCTGAAGGAGTTACCCGCTTCAGCAGCTAAGATGGGGGAGACTGTCCATACCACAACTGTTGTCTTTTCTTCACCAGTCAAAGCTTTATGGGAGACAAAGAGAAAGACTCTGTTGGAAAAAGCTCAGATTAAATCTGCACTGGAGTTCACCAGAAGACTCTGAAGTCACCTGGAAGAAGGTTCTTTGGTCTGATGAGACCAAAATGGAGCTTTTTGGCTATAACACTTGATATTATGTTTTGTGGACACCAAACATTGCACATCATCACAGTCATCACAACCATCCACTCTGTGAAGCATGGCGGTGGCAGCATCACGACGTGGAGCACGGTGGTGGCGGCATCATGA